TATATATATATATATTATATATATATATATATATATATATATATATATATATATATATATATATATATATATATATATATATATATATATATATATATATATATATTACAAACAATCTCTTGTAAACAAATGGTTCTTCTAAAACTTCCACTCTTGTTTATGTTAACTTCAGATTATTCTTAAATTTATATATACAAAAGGAACAATTTAATTACAACATTAGTGGCAGCCTGAAGACGGGAATATATAAAACAGCCCGAAACGTTGCAAAAATAAATGCGGCATTAAGCTTTGTACAGTATAAACCTTGAATGAAAAATAAAATTCAAGAAAAATCTGAAGTTAATGAAAATGCAGTTTCTCAAATTCAAAATTTTTATACCAATCCTCTTGTTTTCTTTCAGTTTAGCAAGAAACTACATTGCGATATATTTAATAATTGGCACATACACTGTATGCCCTTATATTTATATATACTGTGACAAACTTAAAATTATAATGAACTGCTTATAGAAATATTCTTACTAGCATGATGCTGCAGTGAGACCGAAAATCGGTGACAGTGGATTGTGTAAATAGAACTTTATATATTGAACTGTATATATACCCTTGTTATATTTTGAAGAAAGCGGGACACGTGACTTTAAAAAGGAGCATGATAATCCATTTTACAAATAGTCATGCATTGATTTATTTTGTATCACTTCTTAAAAATTTATTTCTGAGTGTCCAAACTGGGATTCGAAAGTTTCAAAACTTCATGCAAGACTCTAAAAGCTAAACTATCAAAGTTTCTGTGATCACAGTAGGAATTTTGCATCCGATTCGGTAAATTCTACATTTTGAAGGATTTGTATGATATGTTCGAGGAACGGACTCCGTGTTTATAACATGCACTTGAGAAAAAACTCGCGGAGGAGAATGGAATTTGCGAGTGCCTCTATGGTTATCGACCAGAACCATGCACTCTCCTCCGCAGAGGCTTTGTAGTTTTGTTCTTTATATGTAGTAGGTCGCGGGCTAAACCCTTAACATTTTCTCTCTTTCCCCCCTTGCTTGACAGTGTGATTCCACACCCCAAGTGGGCTAGAACGTAGACTTGCTCCAAGTCTCTCTTTCATTGTCATATAGTATCGATCCACTATAGTGTAGATTACATGACGTAGCACGGAGGGGCGGAGCGAGAAAGAGAGACTTGTCAACTTCGGAAAATCTCGGTTCAAAACTGAACCGAAAATGCAAGACTTGCTTTAATTGTTTTTTGTCAGTGTTTATATGTATTGATCAAGCACAGTGTAAATAACATGAGTTCCATAATAGCAAATAATACAGAAAGAAATTGAAAGAAAACAATTAAAGCAAGTCTTGCATTTTCGGTTCAGTTTTGAACCGAGATTTTCCAAAGTTGACTAGTCTCTCTTTCTCGCTCCACCCCCTCCGTGCTACGTCATACACTATAGTGGAGAGACTTGGAGCAAGTCTAGCTATAGAACGCGGTGTTCGGTAAACCAGATAACTTGGGTTCGATGCCCGGTTGCATGAAGCCTTTAGATATCGAATTTATCGCAACATGTACTGTAAAACTAACTGAAAAGTGTTGTCAGCGTTTTCACTAGAAGTCTGTATTCCATTTTTCGTTTTTCAAGATGGTCTCCATAAAATTAATGTTATTCCGAAAAAAAGTGCGTATTTATAATACATTTTGGATCTATTTGATTCATCGTCAGCAGTATATAACGATTTTACAAGATATGCATGACGTTACGTCTCTGACGTTACGTGTATGCGCTCATAGAGATTATAAATAACACTAGAGGAGGCATCGAGTTTAAAAATTGGGAACGCCGCTAATGGGGGGCAAATTCAAGTCCCGGATATAAAATCGTGCTCTCATTGGCTGATTTGAAACTCGTCACCAATGGGAACACGAATACACATCCGGGACTTGAATTTGCCCCCCAATAGTCGCGTTCCCTTTTTCTTACTGAATTAAGATTACAATGCCTCCTCTAGTGTTATTTATAATCTCTATGTATGCGCTAGCCTACAGTGTACACTATGCGCAGAATAATAAGAATTCAGAATAATTTTAATTTTATATTTCAGTCAGAACTGAAGTTGGCCGGCCTCCTTTGATAAAATTGGGTCGAACATTTTGTATTTCACCAATGTAATGTTGTGACAGTAATAAGTAGCCTGCGAATACGTGCAGACTATCATCATAGCCATAAGGCCGCTTGCTGGCTAAATAATAAGCCTCATTTTGGTTTATTGTATAGCTTGCCTCTATACTCTAATGATGGTGCAGCTAAATCATTGACATTTTATATCGAATATAAATTATAATAATGAATCATTGTCGATATCTTTCTACAATATGTTCAACTGAATTTAGAATTTAGATTATTTGAAATTATTAGAAACACAATTTGCTACTAAGATATATAGTGAAATATTTACAACGTTTAGAAGATATATATGCATGCTGCATGGACCAAAATGAAGCACGTACCTAGAAATGTTTTATGTCGGAAAAATGCAATTTCCCTTGTTGAATTAATGTAGCAAACTATTTTCTAATTGCTTAAACGATAGTTTATAGCTATGATTAGCCCACGATTATTCGTATGTGACAAAATTCATTGGTGCGTTATAGTTTGTTTGTAAGCTTGAGTAAATCTAAAGTTGAAGAAATGAAATGTTTGAAACGCCACCTGTAGTGTTTAACTCCGTGCTGATCATTGATCCATTTCAAGCAACTTGAAACTATCGTCGTTTCTTTACAATATTCCTGCTAAATATTGAATAATTCCGGAGAAATAACGGTTACTTGTGTAATTTGGCATAAAAGAAATTTGAAGGCGTTTAGATATGGTGGCAAAAGTGAAAGATAGGATGTGATGGAGTTTGTGTACCGTTTGGCTATCAAAGACCAAGGTTGAGAAGGGAATCAAGGAAAAGTCTGTCCTATTAAAAACAAAAAATCCAGTAAGTAAAATATTCTATTCATATGCGGGTTTTTATTACTCTCAACCGATCAAATCCATTTTTGTTGTTAAAATGGCGAATCATTCCTCATACAAAAATTTTGCATGTTTTTGACAGTTTCCTGTTGCTCTTTATATAACGATTGTAAATGATGTTCTCGTTCACTTTGATTTCGTGAACAAACATAATTTGTACTGTTAGGAAGCAATAATAATTTGCTCATAAGATTTACCAATTAGATGCATGGAGACAGATGATACTCCTAATATATTTAATTCCCTGTACTTTATGTTTTAGTTTCAAGAAAATGAGGATAGCAGAAAAAATGAAGAAACTACCACATATTATAGTGGCTTTATTTCTGCTCATCACGCCCGCATCTCGAGGCAAGCCAGTAACTTCACGTAAGTTTCTTTATACTGTTATATCGCAGTATTATAATTACAGCAGGTACAGACTACAGTAGAAGTTTGCAAAGCAGGATCTTCAGACACCTTCAGACATTGAGTACCTTTGTTGTTTATACTTGAGCTTTACTCTATGACTTTAAGAATTAATCAGGAGAACGTTTTTATTAATTGTGTAGCACCCATTCCGTCTCCAATTTTTTCTTTAAGACAGTTCATTGAGTATTGTGTTAATATGTTAGGTCCTATATTTTTCTCCCCAACAACAACTAATAAAATAAAAATCAAACTCTACTAAGTACTGTGATGGCAGTTGTTGGAAACATTTTTATGGTTATTCATTTGGCTTGTAGTATTTGTAATGAAGAGAAACAGACACAAGTACATATATGTACGGTTTTTTTGTACACTAACATTGACTGTCACTCAGCATCAGACTATCGTTTCTAGTTTTCTATTTATGTTTAAATCAATCAAAATATTTAATGAAGCTGTCTAACCAACTAACTATACTTAACTAAAATATACATGTAGGCCCTTGCATGAGGATCTAGAGGTTAACCCTACGATTTGAACTCCCTAAGATAATTAGTCACTATATTAAAAAGTTATACTTAAAGATTGGGTATTCGATATTTTATTTCTAAAACCTGACAAAACATGAACAGCAGGTGAAGGGTGGATATTATAATTTATAAAATTAGGTCCATTCCAGAATAAAGTTTAAAGTTCGAATGCAATTAATTTAGTTTAGTTAACATCTGTATTTTGTACTGCAGACATTGAGACGGACAAGGACGAACCATGACCTTACGACTGATGACTTCATATCACGAAGAACGACCAGTGAACAAGTTTTCAATATGACTGGACAACCACTGAACCGATTAACCAACCAACTGAACCGTTGACAACTCTCAAGCAAACGACATTATTGACTGCTCAAGCGCGATTGTAATAGCAATTCATGCGACTTGTTTAAGGCTTAACTCCTTAAGCTTTATTTAGTTGAGACCTAGTACACACATGTACAAATCTCACATCTTGCAGTGAGTTGTGAACAATTTGAATTCTCAACAGGCTTGTAGCAGGCTTGTGAACAAGTTGTAAAATTATGTTGTTATTAGAAAGTTTGAGCAAGACACAAAAATATCAAGTGCGTCTTCGTACTGTATTTGTTGCCTTGCTCAAACTTTGCTGCTGCAAAAGTTGCTCCAAGGTTGTATTTTCATAACCGACTTGTGAATAAGTTGCTAATTCCAGGATGGTGACAAATTGTTGCATCTGTTGACTTTGTAGCAACGTCTCAACTTGCCAGGCCTTTTTTAAGGATTTTCCCGTGTGGTGGTGGCATTTTATGAAAAGGGACCTTTCTATGACATAATATATTAGAGAGGGATAGCCATGGCCCAAGGCCCCGTGCGTGGCCGGCATACCACGCATGAATAGGGAGGTCTGAGGGTCATACTCCCATGTTTGAAATTTGAAGCCCGGAAATGTCATTTCCTGCATTTCGAGCATCCAAATTTGCTTTAAAATTTATGCTAACTATACTTGTTTTTGAAATAAAAGAAGGAAAAAACGCATTAACAATAATTTGTCATTACTTAGTGTTAGATAAACGTAACAATTTAAGTCGATTTTGTTAAACAAGGACAAAGGATGAGGCATAAAACTTACTTTCCGTTTATCTATTTGTTATTTTTCGCTTTTATTTGTTTGTATAAATTTAGGAAAAAGGGACTTTTCCTGGGGGGATGTGATTTCAGGGGGGGCACAAGGGGGTTGAAGGGGCATTTGCCCCACCACACCCCAACTTTATGTCAAAAAGACCCTGCAACTTGCTGCTGATATAGACACTTAATAGCAAGTCTGCTGCAGGTTTTAACATGCAACTTGTGCGTTTTTATGTATGTATACTTAACTATTTGACTGATTTTCTTTGCAATAATATTCAGCAAAACTATTGGTTGGAATATCTCGGTATCGGGATCTCAAACGATAAGAACCTGTACGATTTGGGATATTAAGATCCACATTCCTACGCCCTAAAATATTAACTGACTTGGTATAATTACAATGATTACTGTAAAAAATTTTCTTTACAATACAATTTTAATTTACAATTACAGACTATTTGTTACTTATTGAAACCAAATATATGAGCCATACCTTGAACAGTTCGCAGCTACACTGACTAAATTCAACAATCAATGACTTTCCGGTATCTTTATGAATTATGGCTTGGGTCTTGCCGTTCCCAGGGCTTCTCGTTCCCAGGGCTTCCCGTAGTAAGCTGAAGTAAGGCCATATTCAAATTGTTATCGGATGCACAAACCACATACAGAAGGGCCACTTACGTCGGGTTTGAAGTTTCTGTCCTCGCGCATGTCGCATTACGCATGTTGGCCGCCATTTTCCTAGCCAGTCAATGGCATTTTTTGGCCAATAAACACGTACTAGCTGTGAGGATACGTTGCACCGCTGAGTTACATTGAATTCAGTTGAGCTTTGTTACTGATTTTTATTCTGTTGCACAGACATTGCGAGGTGTACATTACAAATTTGTAATGTTCGTAGCAAACTTAGCACGAAGTCTCGATGACCTAGTTCAAAGGAAGAAAATTATAACAGTGCGTACATTATCTTTCAAAGAACAGAATCCAGGCATAGCGGATTATAGATCATACCAGATGTCTCACTGTGTATCTATCCCTATGATTTTCGTGTCAGCGATTTTCGCGCGTGCGACACTTACTGCCAAAATGCGTGAATTACACTTACTGCCAAAATGGCGGCCAACGCGTGTTCATAAAAAATTGCGGACACAATTTTGGCTGAGTGATTCATCTGGTATTATCTATCATCTGTGATCCAGGCCAGTGTTTCCGACCCACAAAAATTTGTTTCAAAACTTGATGATACTTCGTTGAAAGTTCTTCGATCTTGTCTATTTTGTGTCGATATATATGTGATCAAGTTTTCTGTAATGATTGTGGTTTCAATCTCATCTTCGCGCATGCGCGGACGTTAGCTATTGGATCTTAAAATCAATTTTCAGTCCCGGTCTGGACCCTAGGGCTTTTATTGCCCAATCTTCCCCTGTGACAAAGCGCTTCAATAGAAATAGATGTAGAGAAAATAAAGCACTGCAATAAAAATAGAGAAAATACACTCAAATTTATCACACGAGAAATGCATAAAGAGTAAGACATGCAATTTCAATATCGGTGTTATGTATAACTGAAATAAATTCGATATACCTTGACCGGAAAATTCTCAAGTAAACCTCTGGGGGCTTATTTATTTCAGACCCGTTTAAAGGACGTTTTGTAGGGGAGGGGTATGAATAGAGAGGAGGCCTTTTTTAGCCGAAGTGAAGTGAGAATAAGAAAGTACTAAACGTCCATGAGTTAAAATGTAGGAATAGAAGTGTAATCAGCAAATCAGCACACATATATTTCTTTGTTGTGAGTGGGTTCTGTAGAGTGGAGGTTGAATAAGTTTTATCCTCTAAATGGGGTGGCTTAGTAGAGCCGGAGAGGGAAAGTTTATTTGAGTGGAGTGGTCCTAATAAAGGATTACGGTAGTCTATCAACCAGGGCGCTTATATATTGGGTGGTGCAACGCTAGTAATTTCAATAAGAGCCTTGCTATCGACAGCTATGCTCAGTCTGTTCATATTATATACATGAACTTGCGGTTAAAGCTCGACAACTGGACTCTGTAGCTTAATTGGTTAGAGCACTGTACCGGAATCGCAGGGCAGCAGGTTCGATTCCTGCCGGGGACCTAAGTTGCATTTTTCGCGGTTGTTCCTGTTCAGGACTAATAAATGTTGTATATAAATTTCCACTCGATAATTTCCATCTACAAAACCCTTCAACTATTATTCAATCGAGTGAGATGCCATCAAAATCTTGATATTTGCCCATAACTTAACATGGCAGTACCCTAGTATATACTGTATACATGAACTCGACAACTGCACTCTGTGGCTCAGTTGGTTCTCTAGCGCTGCACCGGAATCGCAGGGCCCCATGTTCGATTCCTGCTGGAGGGCTAATAGCAGTGGTGTCAAGTAACGAAGTAAATGTACTTCGTTCCTGTACTTGAGTACTATTTTTGAGAAGTTAGCATGTAACAAAGTAAACTTTTTCTGGAGTACTTTTACTTGGAACGATGTCGTTTTAAGATGTAACGTTTTACTTCGTTATTTTCATTTTGTGGGGAAGTATTTCGTTACTTTCTAACTGTTGTTTAATTTTACGTGATTTACTTTGATTTTGGGATAGGTAATAGGACCTCTACATGAGCCTGGGATCTCTCGTTTGTGGCTTACTTATAAGTATTATTTATTTAATGGGTTTCTTATATCTTCAACGGGGTCTGGAAAGTAGACCATGTCGTGAAATATTGCATATTTATATTGCGTGTGATGTTTTGTGTTTTTTTGTATGTCAATCCATCAATGGAGAGGTCCCCTCCCTACACGCTACAGACAATAGTACTTTTACTTTGTACTTCAAGTATTTTTTAAGGATACTTTGGACTTTTTACTTAAGTACGTTTTGCCTCCAGTACTTTTTACTCTTACTCAAGTCGTTTTATTGTCAATTGCTTCCACTTTTACTCGAGTACAAATTCAAAGTAATTTAGGCACCACTGGCTAATAGTTGCATTATTTGCAGCTGTTCCTGGTAAGTCTAAATAAATATGTATAAAATTTACACTCCAAATTTCCTCCTACACAATCCTTCAACATTACTCATTATTTCTGTTACACAACCCTGCATGGTAAGTGTCAATATATGCTGTCACTGACTGGTTTCATTGTTAGCTTTATTTCATTTTGTTTTTCTTTAGACACTCAAAGCAATGTAATATTAAAAGAAAATACAGGAAATGCTGAATATAGTAAAACAAATGAACTTGACAATAACACATCTAAAAATACTGGTCATAATAACCTACTAAGTGATCTTGCGAGAATATCGAAAGATGAAGAGACAAATGCTGGAAATAGACAGACAATTGTTGGTACAGAAGTCAGTGCTGTCACTGTTAAGAACTCTAAGGCGAGTTCTGAGAATTCTAATAGTCGTACCATAGTGACAGGCACACCTACTGTAACGGAGTCGCCTACTTCAAGTTATGTCACCTCTTCTACTCCTACAAGTGTGACGACAGATAGTGCAGGTACATCAGCAAATGCCGACAATGACATGAGCCTTGTAAGATTATCAGAACCAACTCATATTGAGTTAGGTAAGAGTAAAGATGAAGAAAATCCATTTTCAAAATTGATAACATCCAATGAAAACGCTCCAGCAGAAGAAAAGTCGAATGATGCTGTGAATAAACCACAAGAGCTCTCTCCTTTGATAAGCGAGAGAACCGAGAGTGCTCCTGGTGAGAGTAGTGAGAACAAAGAATCAGCTTTTACTACTTCAGTTCCTGCTGTTGATGAATCTAGACAGCAAGAAACTAAGTATAATGGTGAAACAAAAAATGGGCAAACGGTGGAAGACAATTCATCAGCAAATGTTCAAGATGATGGAGCAAAATCTGGACTGGAATCAAACAATGCCAATAAAGGTGTAAAGGATGTTGCAACTGGTAAGAGTCTATACACATTTGTCATAACACATTTTCCTTGTTCAAATTTTAAACCATGGGACTTTAATATCGAAACAGTTGGTCTGTCGTCTTAGCTTTATATATACAGTAGCAATCATTTCTGTAAACTGTCTTTTTGGTGGCCTTCGAATTTTTTATACGTACAGTACTGCATCGTACACTTGTATCTATTCAATGAAAAGAAATAGTGATACGGAATTTGTTAATAAAATTTAAATTTTGAGACACTATATTGAAATGGGCAAATTAAAATTTTCCTTGATATGAGATCCCAATCTTGAAATCCTTATCGGATGCTGCATTCAAATAAGACATGAAGCAATACATAGTTATCCTTTGGCGCTTTGGACTACAACGTATATAGCTTTAAGGTATCCCCGAGCAAAGGCAAAGCGGAGAAGTCGAATACGAGCGCGAAAGACTGCGGGGAATCGCTAAAAATTCATTAATTTGTTGGCGATTCTCAGCAAGCCTTTCGCGCTCGTATTCGACTTTTCCGCTTTGCTCGGGGACAACCTTAATTGAAATAGCTGTATAGAATATTTACTGTACTTTTTAGATCATGTTGTTGTATGTGCTGGTGAAAAACAAACCATCTCATGTCCAGCTGACACCGCTCTTAATATAACCAGTGCCGACTATGGTTACGACAGTAACAGTGGTTGTCCTATTGACAGTGGTTCAACATCATGTCAAGCTAATGGTGTTTATCCAGTTGTAAGATCTGCTTGTCAAGGACAAGCTTCGTGTTTGCTACAGTCAGATGGACAAGAATTTGGTGGTATGTGTCCTGGACAGAATAATTTTTTAAAAGTCGGATATTCTTGTCGAAACGGAGAACCATCGTCTTCATCTTATTCAGTATCTTCACCAGCAGCAGCAACATCACCCCAAACGCCTGCAAGTAAGTGCCCTCGTTCTTCATTACTTTTATTTAGGTATTAGTAGATAAAGATGTAGGGTAATAAAGTCAAAATTAATGTGTTTTTGAATGACAGTATGACTATAGTTTTCCCTACCAGACATTTTATACTAATAAATTATTGTTCACTAATTTTTCATATAGGTTCCTATGCCTACCAAACCTCACCATATATCCCACATCCTGTACAGTCGACTCAACCAACATCGTACTATAATAATTATGCCTACAATCAGCCTAAGGCAAACAGCTACAGTAGTTATGGTTACAACCAGCCCAAATCAAACACTTACAATACTGCATACATGAACGACAACAGTCCTGGAAAGACAAACTATCCATACAACGGTTACTATAGAAACCAGAATTATTACAACTATTATAATTCACCCAGTCGTGGTCGCCCTGCTCAACCAATGCGAAATCAGGCTCGGCCTCCCCCAACCAATTATTATAGATATAAGCCAAGATCACCACCTCGTAACCCAGCGAAACGTCCTCGGCCAGCTGCGCGTCCACAACCACCAAGAAATAACTACGGTAGTCTGGTAAACGCACAATATCGAGACTACAGTAACAGATACCTTCAACGCAACTACAATAATTATTACAACAACAAAAATACTTACTATCACACAAGGCCCGGTTACTATAATACAAGAAGAAGTTACTACGGCAGAAGAAATTATGACCAGCGAAATTCACCATACAGGCAGACGAACAGTGGTCCGCAGTACCCACGTAATTCGTACTTGGGCTCATGTTATGCATGTCAGAACTGCCAACAGTGTTCAGAACAAGCGTATTGCCAAGGTTGCCCCAAATGCAAAGAATTGCCGTGTAATAAGAAGCCGCCAAAAGAAGAGAGGTACATGGACCCTATTGATAGTTTGGTTGAGGAATTTGGAAAGAAAACTAAAGGTATGATTGTTAGTTAAGGCCCACACAGACTGAGCGCGATTCGGAAACGCGACGCGAATTTTCAGTTTATAAAACAAATAAAACCGTCAACGGATAAAAATTTACAAGATATGCAGACCAAATAGCTAAAATTGCTTAAGCGGTTCCAAATATTTGAAAAACATAGAAAAATAGTAAAGTTAAATGTGATTGAAAATTGAAAATTCGCGTCGCGTTGCCAAACGCGTCCGGTCTGTATAGGCCTTTAATCTGGTAACTGCATCCTCCACTGGCCCCTGTTACCCATGAAATTTCACATACAAATTCTGCGGGCCAGATCTGGTAACATGGAAAAGGACTGGGACTAATTGTAGATTAAAATTACCGAATGTGTTGTCTAATGTATTGGACTTGGTACCCCCATTTTATGATAGAATCATGCTTTTTATCATTAATTTAAAGGCTGGTTTACACTATCGACGTTTCTGTGATCACAGTCGGAATTTTGTATGGGACTGGTGAGGTAAATTGTACGTGTTGAAGGATTGTAATAAATGCTTCAGGACACTGACTCGTGTGTTAACATTGACTCAGTTCCATCAAACATTTCTTACAAATCCTTATTTTATTTTACTTATTAAAAATTATTTTGTCCTATGTCCACTTTTTGGTAATAGGACATAGGACAAAATAATTCTAACCTGACGCTATGCAAAATTCGTACCGTGATCAATATGAAACTTTGATAGTGTAAACCAGCGTTAAGAGATTTTGGAAGTTTTATTACTAGTTTCAATAAACGACAAGGAAACGAACTGATAAGTATAGCTAAAATTAATTTTTATTTTCTATTTGCCCAACGTCAATCAATTGGAACTGATGATTTTTCCTTTTAAAGATTACCAACTGGAGTGAAAATTAAAAACGACAACGATATGTTTTATTTTTAACATGTAGGAATGACTCCGATGGAAATGTCAGCAGTAGTGATTTCGCCAGCTCCCAAGGTTCCAGAGATCGCTCATTCTCTGCCACTTCAACCTCCACCCAAGCCTCTTGAAGAAGACGACGATGATGACGACGACAGTGATGAAAATGAATTTACATTATCTGAAGATGAAAGCAATAATCATGAAATCGAAGATCATGAAAGTACCGAGAGTCAAAAGAAAACGTCGGTGTCAACATCTAACTCCAGGTAGGTTTTCATTTCTTCTGACTGTTGTGATCTATCTGGCAGAATAGGAATACTTTAAATTTCCTCTATTTGTTTTTAGTATAATTTCAGTATTGAAAAATGGCCTTTGAGTATTCTGATTGGCTCCCTCAGCAGTAACTCTGAGGCAATAGTTACTGCTTAGACTGCTCGGATCGGTAATCGGCTCATCACTAACTATAATTCCCGCCAAAGTTTCCCTTTTTCCAATGGAGAAATTCATACGACAGCACTGAGTGGTAATTTTGTTATCTCGACGATCACGCAGTAGCTTGCCTCAAATGAATAAGAAGATCGAGTCTGATGAAAATATAATTGGATTTTTGAAATATTAAGAACGAACTGAGCTTTGTACTTCAGTCAGCCTTCCCCATTTTACTTAACGGCCCTGACGTTCGTCCTACGTCCCAGAGTATGTTCCCCTCCGTAAACATGTCGTTGCTATCGATTCGACCGGCCCGATCAACCATATCGCACCCCCGTATATGCCAGTGTAGGGCTCGATCCACCCTACCGGTTCAAACCTCTTTGGCTCTTTCCCTCCTCGATCGTCTCTGTCGCTGCACATTTTATACACGTCCAACTAGTCACAGAGCTGGCGTTTCATAGACCACCAAGCATCTCCACTTCTTCTGGAAGTGTGATTGTAGTACACTCGGCACTCGAGAACAGCTAGATAAAAGTAACTCGGTTATGTAGTTGAATACCAAAGTGTCCACATGACCGTAAAGGACTAAAAACGCCAATGCTTGACCCACGCTCATGGCCTCGGTCAAATTGCCTCAACGGTACTACAACCCTCCAATAAACTCGCCAGATTGGCATAACGTGTTACTGGGTATAGATAGTTAACTAATACTAAATTTTTAATTGTATAGTGTGCATTCTGCAAAACACAAGCAATCAAAAGACAAAGCGAAGCAAGGTGAAAAGAGAAATAAGATATATCACCGAAAACCCCAAATCAATAAAATTTACGACGACGACGATGATGAAGATGGTTATGATTTAAAAGTTTATCAAAATTTGTTGAAGAAACCAAAGAAAAGTAAAATTCGTCGCCATAAAAATGCTCATTCCAAGAGAAGGAAGTCAAGAAAGCGTCTTCACAAACGTTGGTATGATGAAAATCTGTCAGAAGTTACCGGAGAAAATGATTTTGATATAGGGGGAAATGAAGACAGACCTGTTCAAAGCCCGTATTATTATGATGGTGCTATGTTTTGGTAAAATAGTTTGAAGTATTCACTATAAATACTGTAATGAACAGGTTGATAGACATGTGGAGATTTTTGTCAGAACTCTACAATTAATCAATATGACTATTACTTCCAATCTCATTGACCAATCTCATGTGAGAAATAGTCCGTAAATTGACGAAATACGTTTTGAAGAATACGTCTAACGTGTTCTTTCAAACGAAACACTAAGGTTCATTACGACTTAGTGAGATGGATAAAGAAACTTTTGTATATAACAAGGCAATAGCACACTGTAAATTTAAAAGAGTCAACATGAAGTCAAAAGAGTCGCTGTGGAATCCTATTTGGTTCACCCTAGAACGACTCTTTTGAGTTCATTTCAACTCTTTTGAATGTACAGTGCATAATTGTAATAATACAGTGCATCGCATCTTGTTTGACCTGGTTCCTGTAACATTCTTGAATTTGGAAATTTAGCATTTGTGAAAGCTAAATGTCGAATTGACCCAAAAACCATGGAAAGTACGTCACCTTACGGCCTGTCTACGCGATTCGATTAGCCGTATAGGTTTGTCATTCTGGCGTATGAAAATTACTGCCAGAATTCCTATTCATTCAGTTTATGGCGAAATTTATTTAGGCGTGTTTATTCGATTATAGCAAAAGCGACCTCACACGCTTTCCTTTAAAGGTGTATCCGGGTTGCGGGGTTGGTTAAGTGTAGTGAATATAATTCCTCAGTTTTGGCACATTTCCCAAGTTATATAGGAATTTATTGCATGTTTGCTAATTTGTTTCCAGCAGACCATGTACAAATATGCATAGACTATAGTTTAACTTTGAGCTCAATTAATGTAAATGGTCAGACAAGATTAGCCTCCACCCGCGGGCATCGCCTTTAGATTGGCGGGAAGAATTTGGTTGCTGGTTTCTAAACCCAAATAACCCATGACAGGTGAATTACGAGATGCCTGCGGAAGAGGTTACGATATGTAGTGTAAATATCGCTTGATCGTGAAGAAAAATGTACATTGTTTTTTAATAAATTGTAACTGCGAAGACTGGTTTTACTATACGTCACCATAAGAAATTTGCTAGTCCATAAATGGCACTAAGTGGTGAGAATGCACTTTTGGTACGTACCAGTTCATGATTACTATGGACCAGTCCGTGAAGATGTCAACTTCGTATAGCCCTTAGTCGTGGTGATAATGAATTTTTACTACGGACCAGCATGTCAACTTCACGACAGCAATTAGCCTTTCTCACGAAGGTCAAAGTCGCCATTTTTGGGGTACTTAATTTTTCGAAAACGACGTGAAAAAATTAACTTATAATGATTATACTCACAATTATAGTTATACAAACCCCTTATTTACTGCGTACAATCTCAAACTTGGAAAAGGCAGTACCCCAAAAATGGCGGCGTGAGAAAGGTTGATTGGCTTTCCTCGCGCCATGCAACCAGGCCTTGTCCCAATACAACTTCCCCACGAAATCGACTAGTCTGTAGGGAGCTCTCAGTCCACAGAGGTTATTTTGGATCGTAGAAGACTTATTTTGTTGCAGTATTTATTATAAATTTTTCGGAATCGGATAGTATAGGAGAAAAATATATAATAAATACTGCAACAAAATAAGTCTTCTACGATCCAAAATAACCTCTGCGGAGGAGAGAGCAACTTTCCTACGGATTAGTCGATTTTGTACATATACCGCAAGCCATGTTTGGGCTTGGTCAGGTTTTTATTTTAACTAATTGGCTGACCAGTTTAATCAGGCCTAAGATTGTAATGTGGCGATCATGCACTTTTCTAAAATGGCGGGGTGAAATTTCCTCTTCTGGAATTTATCGAACTATCTGGAGATTTTCTTATAAGAGAGGCCGATCATTTAACTTTTGAGAGGGGGTGATTTTGAAAAAAATTTCCTGCAAGGCTATTCTGAACAAAAAAAATACCTGCACTAACAAACTGGGAAAAATATCCTGCCCCAGTATTTGGTGGGAAAAAAATGTTGCAAACAGCAGCGGTTTCAGGGATCGATTTAACCAGTCCCAGAAGATCAGCTGGTTTGGTTAATTTCTTTTTGGAAAACTCCTCAAAATGCTGGAAATAGCTTGTCTGAGGTTCAAGAAATCCAAGATTTTCTGGGGAGGAGGCACGCTCCCAGACCCCTCTAGAGTCTGGCAACTTCGGTTGTCGACTCGGTTGTCTCAGAATCCTAGTTATGGCCTGATCTGCTGCCCTATGACGTATACTTATTAGTTAAACCATGCATATATATGCTGGTAGCCGCAGTGATACAGACTTGCCGACTGGAACTTCTCCAGGTCCCCCGCTAAATATGTCCCCTCCAGTTACACATCCTTAAAAGAGGCCCTGAACTAATTGTTATACCTCATAGCAATATGTATTATTAAAAGCAATGCATGAAGCTAGAAGCTAGAAAACTCAACGTTAACTATTATTAAAGAATCTAAATAGTATAAGCTATTGAAAAAAATGCTGCGAAAAAGATAGTGGCAAAAAAAAGATCGTACATGGTGATGGGATAGGAAAAGAAATGCTGCACATAACGATCCCAGCTGAAAAAATTCCCTTCCAGCGGTAAAACACCCCCCTCCCCTCAAAAGTTAAATGGTCGGCCCCTAAGACATAAGTGTATCGAAATAAACATAGTGAATACCCAGACTTGATTTTCTCAGTTTCCTTTTTATGAAGTAAGAAAACAACGCGTCTAATTCTTAGTGTAAGCACAGTTAAGAGTCGGTATATAAGTAAGGATTTCAATCAATTCCGCTCATTGAGCAAAGGCAACACAAATATCTAAGATTATGGAGTCTGAGCCAAATGAATATTTCGTGTTTAATTGAATTAAACTTATTTGTGCTGGACAACTCTATCAGTTCTAAACTATTCTCTGTACCGGTATACGTCGTCCAGTGTTATTATAGGAGAAATAGGGATACCTGGTGAAAACCTGCATAATAAACCCTTACAAACACGCAAATGACACGAAGCTATATATTCGATCAGAGGAAAACTCCTGATATTGTGGGAATAGAAATCTCAGTTGCAGAGGTTCTGACTATTATGGCACCTAACTCCTAAGTGTGATTAATTATTCATGGCGTTCAAAGACTTCACGGTTGGCGCTCTCAAGCAGGTGGAACTCAGTGTGTCTTGTTCGCTTCATGACTAGCTTCTGAACCATGGACGTTCATGTAGCATTTGGATTATTCTTCATACTAGATTTATTCAGCCATGGCATTTCTGGTAAGAATACTTACAATATTCTGCATTGTGCTATCCTATATCATGCTTGATCTGCTAGTCCATATGTTTACATGAAGATGTCTGATCTTTATTTCTAGCTCCAGTCTTCAACAATTATTATGATAATACGCCCAACGAAGGTATGGGAAACTGTTTGATCTATTTTATTAAAAACAGTAATACCTAAGGTTATCTATGAATAAATTTGGTGGAATTTTAAGATAAACTTTATGTTGATCAAAAGTGAATACATGATGTTGTCTTTTGAAATCTATTTTAGGTTACCAAGTAAGCGATGATATCACGGACTCATATGAACGTTACCCGCGCAATGCCCTGCCAAATCCGAATTTCTGGCACCGTAAGTTTACTATTACCTTTCGACATTTATATAATGGGGTGTGTCCAGGAAGATCTCACCTGACACAAGGTAGATCGACTTATTGACGTGACAGGAAACGTAATAAATACAGTTTACATGCACTACCAAACATGAACAAACACTATGTCACAGAGAACATGACGAAAAACGAAAGACGAAGAATATGAATATTCACTAAATGTATTAAATCTCATTGTTTCAATCCACACTTCACGCAAAACTTATATAGACATATTTCCAAGATTGAAAACAACAATCTGCCGGTGTCAGATCTAGTCAGGTGAGAACGCTATATAGTATTTATCAAAGCCAATGATATGTAAGCGTACGCCAATACTCGTTACAGAGTGTATCTGTGCATGCATGCATGCATGCATGCACCTTGCATGCACCTGAATTAAAAAGTTCTAACTTTCTGTATCACGAGTGCTATATTTATCAGAACACTGATGGGATTCATATTCGAATAAGAGTTTCATCAATTAGCCACGTACCCAGGCTCTAATCTACCTTTCTCTTTTCTGTTCCAGTATGGATTTCATGTCTTTAAGCATGATTCTCTCAAACAATATAAATAAGTTTGCATATTGTAAATAATCTTTTATAAATTAAAATTAACGCAATAAATTAAAGTATTAATGCATGAAAACGTAGTTTGCGAATCACATAATTAGTTTTAACTATTGTTAGTACTTAATATTCAGTCATACCTTGTTGAAATATCTGTGGACTAATTTTCAAAATTTTCAATTCCACATACTGTAGTGTCCTTACCATATGATCTATTTATATTTTACGACTTCTGTTGTCAGTTCAATTGTCTTTCTTTCTTTCCTTAATTCTTCTTGTTTAAAACAATATTTGTAAATCTTATCTAGAATATCGTTGGTTTACTCGAAGTTTGATTCCCTCACGTCCTAGACAAGCATCTAGAAGACATTATCATCTATTTCATCTTACTTCCAAACATCCAAACGCCGGTATGTATATACATCTGCTTATGCTGGAATTTTTTCCGGAATTTTAGACAAGTTGATGGAACGGCGTCCCAGGATTTTCGCCCCCCCTACAATTTCGCCCCCCGGGGGCGAAATTCCTAGGAATATCGCCCCCCCTGGGGGGCGAAAATCCTAGGAAATTCGCCCCCCTTTAGGAAATTCGCCCCCCTTTAGAAACTTCACCTTTTCTTTAGGATTTTTGTCCTCC